TAACCCTACAATGATGGAAGCAGTTGAAGATATGACCCGCACATTCCAATCTCAAGTGAGGCTAAATGATGACGAGGAGCTCCATATTTTGGTGAACGTGACAATCCGTAAGGTAAAATGTGGTGCGTCTCGGAATGTAAAAGGGAAAGGGCCTGCTTGATTGGCGTTGTTGTTGGACTGGGTTATTTTCGAGTTATGTTTTTCTACTACGAACAAACACTAGGAGGGAACTTTATATTTTCTATGTGTAATAGCTCACAACTATGTATCGTGTTTTGCGCTTTGTAACGTTTGTGAACTAATGAACTTGAATGTTAAGTTCTTCAATGAGTTGAAGTTGCACAAGTAGTTCTTTGTTTTGAACGAACACTCTTGGATTTGCTAAGTATTCTCTTCCATTCAAAGCAGTAATTGGTAATTGGTTTTGGTATTTGTTAACTGTTGTATTCGGGTTAAATAAAGCATTGTTCTGCCTCCCTTTCATATGTACGATGGAATGGAGCTTGGCAACTTGTTGATCTTTGAAGGACAGGAACATGTATTATGTCTCCAGTTAAAGTCAACAAGTTCAGATTAGAGAGAAATTACATGTATTATGTCTCCAGCTAAAGCTAACAAGTTCAGATTAGAGATAAATTATATAGAGATCGGTTGAAACAAAAAATTTCTAAAAGTTTGGAGAGACTTTCATGTGCTGGAACTCTTTTAGCTTTGACATTTATTTGCCACAATGCACAAGAAGTTGTAGTCTTAATATTGAAATTAGCACTAATAGTTCCATATCTTGTGAGTAAGATAATTAGTGGATGGGAGGTTAAAATACAAATCTATTATAACCTGTTTAATAGTTCATCAACACCATTGTAAAGTTTGTGATGTACAATTTTTGAATAAAGATTCATAGCCCTATATCAAAACCTAAATCACTTATCCGACTCTGGTAAAATTTGAATTGCCTATTTCTGCTCTTCTTTAAATTCTAATGGCCAGATGATATATAGCTCCGAGTGCAAGAAACATCCGCATCACTACTCACACTTAACAGGAAGTGATTCAAAGGGCAAAGCAAGCTCATGTTCTGCACTTGCTTGGATAGTGATGGAGATAGATTTACTAGCTGGGGCCTGTTTATGGAATTCAATTTCATGTCCATAAACATTAGAAACTGCTTCAACAACATCTCCACCTTAACCAGCAAGTGAATCCAACATCTGGCATGAAGACACCGAACTAGGCAAGCAGTTTTGAACAAAAATGGCATCCACAAATTTCATGCTTTCATGCCGAAGAAAGGCCAAGTTGGATTGAACAAAAAATGGGATCCACCAAAAAATGGCCTGTCACAAATTGGCAAAGTTTTCTAAATTTCTTGTCAAATTAACAAATTTATTTATGGCAATTCAAAGGTGGAAACTTAACCTTTTCATAAGCCCCTGCCACCATCTTCTGGTAAATTTGGGTAGTAGTATGGCATTCCATGATCTTCCATATATAAAGAACATTATAACACAACGAAATAAAAAGATAACGAATTGTAATGATTTCGACAATTGTTTACCTCGTGAATTAGTGCTACTATCATTGGGCAATGGAGACATGAAGTTGGAAGGCGGGTATTCTTGGATGAACATATGATTTTCGGCATCACCCTACATATAATCATAATATAAATGTAACGTAAACTTCATCATAACAGAGAATTGAAAATACTAACAAACAACATTTGTGAATATGAGAATGTGGGCGGTACGAAATAGCTAAGTTGTGATGGTTCTTCAACTTGGGTTGGTACCACTGGCATGTTGGTATGTGTCACCCTCGATGCGTTTCCCTTGCTTGAAGTTGAACTTCCCTACGTTTATATCAAACATACATGAGAATTTGAAATTGGACTCCATTTCAATGGCGAGGTTAACAAACAAAAGTACCTTTGTTTTCTTCGACCTCGACTCCAATGAGCCTTTTGCAAGAAGCTTTTTTGGTGCACCCTTTCTCTTCACCAATATAGGATCCCTTGCACTATCGCAATCAATGGGTTGAGAATCAGTGCACTGAGAGGATAAGTTAAAAGCAATCAGCGACCCGACATTACTTTCGCTACTCAACTTGCTAAGCGTAAGCTCTCTATATTGGCATTTTATCCAGTCCATTATTGCACGTGACTGCCCTTCATCATTTGCAGTGAGATCTGCCACGTACGAAAAAGTTTGATACATTTCGTCGTATCTCAACTATGCCGGAATATTAACCAAGCCATCGTAGTTTACTGCCACTCTTGTGTGTGGTCTACTAACATCTCTCCTTCATCTTCATAGTATATACCTCTCGGGTATTGATCTCACGTCGTTACGGATTAAGACTTCGATTGCATGCCTACATATTATCCCTCGAAACTCAAACAAATAGCAGCTGCAAACTATTTCACAACTATCCCTTCGAAAAGAGACGAATAACTTTTTTTTCTTCCTTTGGTGGTCATACAACACGTCCTCCAGAACTTCATACCTTATCCTTGAGCTCCCCTTTGAAGCAGCTATGAGATCGCAATATACCTTCCCTGTGAACTCGTCTGGCACTTCTCGAAACTTCGAAATTGTGTACACCAACTGAAATTGTTTTTCCATTTCGTAATTTGTTGCACATAGTACCATCTGCGAGTATGACTTGAAATCTGTATAGTACTCCTTTTCAACCTTACTTCTCAGTGCTCATTCATATTGTTCAACAAACTGCTTAAGAAAGGTCTTCGAATGTACATAACCATCAAAGAAGGCATTCATACTTTCACTTCACCGAGTCATGGACATACCAGCCTAGAAAGTGGTTTTCAAAAAATATGGAACCCAACGACTTCTGTTATTATAAAGTCCAGTCAACCAATCATTTCATGCAACTCATATAAGTCAACCATCAATGCCCAACCTTCTTCAAATTCTTCACCAGTCTGCGAATCATACACCAATCTATGTATAGCTGAAAATATGTTTCCCTTATCAACATGATACCCAAACTTCTCCGGCAATTTCTTCAAAATGTGTTATAAACACCATCTATGCTTGGTGGTCGGAAAAACAATATTAATTGCGTTTTGCAAAGCCCTGTCTTGGTTTGTAATAATTTCATGGGGGGCTTGACCATGCATGCACTCAAACCATGTACTGAATAGTCAAACAAATGTATCTGTGTCCTCGTTTGATAACAGACCACAACCCAGCAATGTTGATTGACCGTGATGGTTAACTCCAACAAAAGGAACGAAAGACATGTCATATTTATTGGTAAGGTAGGTGGTGTCAAAGGTGACAACATCATTGAAGTCCTTGCATGCTTGCTTGCATCTATTATCAGCCAAAAATATGTTCTTCAGTCGTGGCTCATCATCTAAATCCATACTGAAGTAAAATTCGAGACATTGTGCTTGCATTTTCGAAAAGTAAGATTGTATTGCGATTGCATCACCCTCTCCGAGTCGTAATCATCTCACTTGCTCAATATAATTTCGGCAATCCTTTTCCACACAATGCAAATTCTCATATCCACCAGCTTCAACGACTGCGGAATTGAAACTTTTATGCAGCAGAATCCCGACCATGTCATTAACTTCAAGCTTTCTTTTCACATGTGCTGGCAATTTTCGATTGCAACGGTAAAACCTGGACTTTGAAGGGCTTGTTGTATGATTGTGCTCGAGGTGAACTGTTTTGATCCTCCAAGTTCCATTATCATCCGAAGAAGCAGAGATTCTAGCTTTACAATCCATCTACATTGTTGGTTGAGGCTTCAATGAACCAACAACATTAGTGTTTCTTTGACCTTCACGACTATATGTAAAGGTCACATATCTTAGAACTCCATCCTCCCCTCTTTTCGAATTCCTCTTCCGAACTGGAAAGTCTATGTCGTATGCATATCTTTTATAGAACTCAAACATTGTTTTTTCATCTGAGAATTGCATACCCACCTCAGGCACAATCGAGCCCTCATCTTCTAACCCTTCTTCTTCCACTATATTAGTATTTTGAACAACATTCTTATTTTCAGAGTCAGCAACAAAATTACTATGCACGTCTTCCATAACAAACCACCTGCGATGAAATAATTGGTAACGTTATTTTAGATAAATCAATTACACTACCAAAGACACATCAAAAATAAATTCATGTTTCCATATACATATTAACACACTACACAAATTTGCTTTGTAACGACAGATTCAGAGCAAAACAATCACAACATTTGATCATATTACCCATACTACACGACAACATTGATAATACCTTCATATGAAAATGGGCAAATAACAAACACGATGATAGAGATTACTGCAGCCAAAGAAGGAGGTTGAGCTTTGGACAATTCAGCATAATAAAAGGACTTCAATTGGTTATTATTCTTCACGTTGCACTTGGTTTCTAAGTTGAAAAACATAAATCACTTAGACTTAGCAATCTCATTTTGTGATTAGTTTCTTCGTCCACCTTCTAGCTTTAGGATTTATAATAGTCAAGGTGTTTTTTCTATGTGAGCCATGAGTATTGGAAACGGGCAAATGAGCCATGAGTATTTATAATAAAGATTGAGCTTGCTGCACTAACCAACTAGTCACGTCTTGGATATTCCGGCAACGTTCGCATTTGGACACTTCTTTTATTCTATGACATGGGTGCAAGATAGCTAGTCGATTGACGCTGGGGTGGAGAAGATGGCTGGTCAGGCGGGAACTAAGGTGGAGTGCAACTCATTTCCCTCCACTGCCGGTTGTTTCTTATTTGTTTATTGACCACACGTGTGAGTCATTTTTTAAAAATTACCTGTGAATGCCCTGGCAAAGCATTCTGTACGCTGGGCTTTATTCCTAGCCAATCCAAAAGATTGGAGTCAGTGATTCATGAACTACTATAGCGGGCCGGGTTTGGTAAAATACCAACTTGAAAACCGAACTGACAGGTTCTATAAAAAGCAAGGTCAATGATTTTGAGGTAATCAAAATTCGAGTGAGATGACAAGAACCAAGGGGTAGCATAAATTCTTCGACTTTACATTCGCACTTTGGGAAACCAGTGAAAATTCATGTACTAGAAAATATGCAAAAACAATCTGCTCATAGTTCTTCTTTGGAAATATTGCCTAATATTGTTTGATCCACCTTCCTGAACATGCCATAGGTGTAGTCAAGAAACTTCACCCAGTGGAAAATATAGTAAATGAGATGCAACTGCCTCTTAAGTTTGTACTTGACCCACGGCTATTAGTATCTTACTGAATATGTGCTTCACCGGAACACAAGTTCTCCTTAGTGGCACTGTGCCTTGCTTGAATTGGCCAGGTTTCTTTGAAAACTTCTGTTCACCAGCAAGAATATTTTCCCTAAGGCCACCTCGCAAAGCTTGCTCGTCCATAGCAGTGGAAGAAACACAGGAATTTGTGACATAGATTACGGGACTCCTTTTGGAAGTTCTCCAAACAAGTTGGTGAAATTTAGCACAAGTTTGAGAACTGTCAGCTATCTCTTCTATTTCAATTGGATGTCCCAGGATTGCCTTCCTGTTTAGTTTACTCACTAGACAGACAAATGGGACGTGCTCTGCTCGATAACTTGCTTCAACGGTCAAATCCACATCTATCAATGCTGTTTCCAATCCATTGCGGTGATGTATCTCACTGGCCCCTAATCCCAAAGAATCCTCTGTTTTCATTTCGAATTTGTCCACACTTTGGTCTTCAAAATCAGCACTCAAATTTAGTGAAACATTTCCAATAGGTAGAACAACTGTTCTTCTACTCAAATCACGAGTTTTAAGCTCCATTTTCAGCTTCAACTTTTTCTCTCTAACAGTACATTCAATCGGGTAGTTGGGAGGGGACACAGTTGAACAATGGGCTTCATTATGTTCCTTGAAGTTTCTCTTTCTTAGTTGTCCCAAATCTCTTGAAGCGGGCACTGTCAATTTAGATACAAACGTGAGACAATAGCATTGATGAAAAGTTAAGGAGAAAAAAATGATTGAAAAACGACAAACTAAGTTTCAGTCTATATCCTTCTTCTCCACTCTATTCAATTTATTGCTAATTTTACTAGCAGATCTCAGGCAACTACATAACAGCCACGTTAAATTTGTTCTAGCCATTGCTCTTCAAAATGTTCTACAAAGATCATGTCTCTTTAGCTCGTAACTTTAGAACTGGATTACAGGAGTTTGACGTTCATGAAAATTGGAACATTCTCATCGGATGTGTGGATCATTATGTACCAATTCAAAACAAGCTAACTCAAATTATGGTATCAGCTAACTGGCATGACTCAAATTGTATGAAATGAATTACTAAAATCATGTTTTCAAATATCCAAATTATAGAAACTAACAAAAATAAATGAAGGGAAGATTATTCACTCGTAGGCTGTAGCACTTCCTCTCTCTCTGGATCTTCTGAATCAATAGCAGCAGAACCTGATTTTGTTGATGTAGAAGAAATCATTTCTTCAAATATATCAGACTGAATCTTTATTGATTGGGGATGAAAAACTGAGTGCTTCGAACCACTATTTGCACCTTCAGGCAAGTGCAGACAATAGCTTCTCTTTTTTTTGCAACCAGTTCCTCCCTGAACCTCACCTAGTGTAAATGCAGTAAAATCATCATTTTCCAATGAAAAAAATAGAGAAATATACAAATGGAATTCAAGACTGAGAAACTACCTTGTAATGAACTTTCTGTTAGCTTGAAAATGCAAATGAGAAGACTTCTTTTTTGAACAACAATTGAAACCAGAAAATACAGAAAAAACCACTAATCTCACTTTTCAAATGCGACTCGCTATAATTGAGTCATTGGTTCGAATTCAATGTTTATATATCTCTTAGCTTATGGATGCAAACATTTAAAAATACTAATTAAAGGTCGAACAGCTGAATTACCTGACCTTTTATGACTGATTTCTTGTTGTTGTTTTTCAGGCCCAATAGCACTAAGACTAGCATTTTCTCCTTGTCCATAGTTTAAGTGCTTCATGGGACGAAAATCCTGGCATGGCCGGGTTTTTCTACTACACTCTCCAAAATTGCACCAATCCCTGGAAGTTGAAATCATAACAATAGCATTAAGGGATGAAATTACTATAAGCTGCAAGCTAGTAGTAATTTCGAAAACAATGAACAATTAACTGGATGACTATACATCCACCTAATTGAGGAAATGGTAGACTTGCATTTGTTACCATATTTTGTACCATAATAAACAATTGCTTCTAGGATAAAACTTGTCAAAAACTAAGCTGCTACACATGAGTACGAGCATAAACCTATTTAGTTCGATAATTTTTCAACAATAGTTAAATCAACATAAATAGTGCATTTCTATGTTTTTTCACCAAATGAGCAGCCTGTACGCAGATATATGATTGAGAACTGGGAAAAATGAACAACGATGCTTTATTTTTGTTGCTATTAAGGAAAAATAAATGGTACATTGTGCTTTAACTAGTCTTGCAGTAGCTTTTTAATAGAATCAATATTTAAGAGCCAAGAAATGCTTAGACTAAGAACTAAACACTCAATACTTTAGCTCAAAACATTCACTTACAAGTGTTAAATGAGTATCTCTTTCTACAAGAAATGAATAATTTATCCAATCAAAAAGTTAGTTAAAACTAAACTTCAGCAACTTTGAAGCTTACCCAAGAAGAAAAAATCAACGCACGCACGCACGCACGCCTACCTTGACTCAATGTTCCTCTGCTTCCATACTCTGCTTCCTCCACCATTTTCCCCCATTTCTCTCAGAGTTTACACCCACAGTTCCAAACAAGAGAGAAATAGCTAAATGGTTATTTTATTTCCAGATAATAATATTCAAAAGAGTTGCATAAAGAAACAGAGTGTACAGAGTTACTGTTGTCCAATGGCGGTTTGCTACCTTTTTTTTGAATGTACGAACCATTTGGCTATTTTTGTAGTTTTCTGCTTTCTTTTTCCTGACAAGTCCGGAAGTTAATTAAATTACCATTTCCCACCCCCGCACTGATTTACATATTCCATTTTTACCCCCAAAAGAATTTAAGCCTCCGCTTGACCCCCATTTTTTTAAATGACAATGGATGAAAAAATAATTTTTTTTTTGAAAAATGAGTTATCATAAAAGAAAAAAGAAAAATGAGTGATCATAAAAGAAAAAAAAATGTATTTGATTTACGTGTAATATTATTTTATAGAAAATTGTATGATTGATAATATGATAGAGAAAAATGCAATGAAATTTAATTAGGGCCAAACGGGGGCTAAATTGTGCATTTACAAATTATTTAACAAAATAAATATTATGCATTTCTAAATTAGTCCAAAAAATGGTTTTCTAATTTAATAAGAAAGAAAAGAAGAATTATTATGGAAAAAAATCATAAATAAGAATTTAAGAATAACACGTTTCAAAATCAAGAAAAAAATTTCAAACTTCAAAAATCAAAATTTTATTAAAATTACATATTTTTTATTAAAATAATATTACACGTAAATAAAAAACTTTTTTCTTATTTTTTATCTACACGTTCTTCATCAATTTATTGCTCCAAGATTCATTTTTCCATAAAAATGGATATTAAACACCCTTTTAATTATTTTATTAATTAACATATTAAGATCACATATTTATGTAATTTTTCACAAATTAACGATTTATTTAATCACACATTATTTTTTAATCACAAATCAAAAATTTTATGTGGCACAAATTATTTTTACGATCACAATTCACAATTTGTTTATCTATCAGAAATAAAAAATTTATAAGTCATGATTTATTAATCGGTCACAAATTACAAATATAATAAGTCACAAATTATCAAATTATTGATAACAAATTTACAATTTTTTAGGTCACACATTATTCGTTGATCACAATTTATTGCTTTCACTGGTCACATATTGTTTATTGGTCACAAATTAACCAATTTAATAGTCACAATCAATCAAATCATTCGTGACCATCGCCAACACTTTTGACAACCGCCTCACCACTGTCGCCAGATTGAAATTTTACAATCGTCAATTGCCCACCACTGCCAAAATATGGAAGTTGTCACCACCACCACTCCAACAACTAAAACCATGCTTCATTGCCATCAACCACCTGTACCACCACCGCACCAACTAAACAACAAGTTGTATCACCCAACCTCTACTCCATCGTCACCACCACCACCAACTGTAAACACCATCATCGTATCGACCACACAGCACACCACCATACCACATCTTCTGAACCCACCACTATACCATCTTCGTCGCGTGCGATCGCATTGCCACAGCCTGATTCGTGCAACAACGATCACCACCCAAAACTACTATCATCATCTGCATCACCATCAATAGCTGCAAATACTATCACCGTACTGACCACACAGCACACCACCACACCGCGTCATCTAAGCTCCACCACCGCAACATCTCCGCCGCGCGACGCCTTCGCCACTGCCTGATCACCTTCCTAAACCTTCACAAAAACCCAAAAAAATAAAATTCGTCCCAGATCGCGCCTTCACTAGATTTTCCCCAAATCGCGAAAACTGCGCTAACTCCGCTCACCGCAACGTCATTGCCCCTACGCCCTCCACACAGTGCAGTGACGCTCAAGCCACTGTAACAACGTCATAGCCACAGCTTGCTTCGCCATTACGATGGTCTCCAACTTTTGCTTCCGACTATTGTGAGAGAAAGAGGAGAAGATGAAATTGATTAGGGGTTGGGGAGTGATTGGATGAAATTTGTATTATTATATTTAATATTTAATTGAATATTATTAATATTAAAATTTTGAATCAATATCTAATTTTTGAACAAACAAACTTTGGATGTGATTTTTGAAGTTCGATCTTTAAAAGTATGAATGGGTGTAATTTCCATAATTGGGATTCATTGTCTTACTTTAAGTTTGACCCATGAACCCTGTCCACGAACAATCAAGTTGGGCCGACCCACAAGCTTTAGGTGCTCAACTAATTCCATGACCATTGCCACCTGAGTATAGATTTGTACAGTTTTTCTTTCATTAGGTTTATCTGACTACTTGACAAGAGTTGATCCAAAGCATGGTCGGTCTACCAAATCAATTTAATACGTTATGTGACCTCTAAATGTTACCCTCGGCCCATGCAACCAACTCTTTTTTTGCCTAAGGACTATTGCAACACAGTTAAATTGGTCAACCTGTGTGTCGTTGTTTGGCCCACGTTAAAATTATAATCCATTTTTTTCTCATTTTATTGATCATATATTCACCAATCAATAAAATACTATTACATGTAATTTCATTAATTTTTCCTTTTTTAAACCATAGAGTTAATTGTTTCAATGGTCATTGAATTTATGTCTATGTCTTTAATATGTTACTAAAATTTAAAATGTTGAGATTTGGTCACCGAACTTAAGTCCATGTTTTCAATTACTTAATAAAATTTAAAATGTCTAATTTTGGCTACTGAATTTTGAAAAATATTGTATATTACTCACTGAAAACTCGACATTTTTCTAAATTCAATATTTATGTTAAGAGTTAATTGTTCCAATGGTCATTGAACTTAGGTCCATATTTTTTATTGATAAATGAAATTTAAAATGTCGAGTTTTGGTTACTGAACTTAGGTTTATGTCTTCGATTGCTCACTGAAATTTAAAATGTCGAGTTTTGACTATTGAACTTTGAAAAATATTATACATTCGTCATTGAACTTTTAAAAATGCTGTACATTACTCACTGTAAACTCGATTTTTTCTTAAAATTTAACATTTGTGCTAGTGAGTAATGTATGACATATTTCAAAGTTCAATGGTCAAAATTCAACATTTTAAATTTCAACGAGTAATGTAAGACAAGGAATTAAGTTCAGTGGACAATCGAAGATATGAACCTAAGTTTAGTGACCAAAACTCGACATTTAAAATTTTAGTGACCAATCAAATACATGAACTTAAATTTAGTGTCCATTGGAATAATCAACTCTTTATATTAGTGGGTAATGTACAACATTTTTAAAGTTCAGTGGTTAAAACTTGACATTTTAAACTTCAGCGAGGAATCGAAGATACAGACCTAAGTTTAGTGATCGAAATTAGATATTTTAAACTTTAATGATCAATTAAAGACATAAACTTAAGTTAAGTGACTATTAAAATAATTAATTCTTAAACCACACCTTATTTAACATTGAAATTTCAAATAATGGGCATTGAACACGGCACACGCTCGGTCGGTCAGTCGGCCACTCAGTTAGATTCCTACCTTTTCTGCGTTCTCTCTCATCTTCATAAATTCCCTCGCCAGTCTTGAAAGTTTAAGATCTGGTTCAAGTCCTAAGTCCAAACTACCAGTTTTTCAATGAAAAGCGAGAAGAAGATTTCATCAAGTGCCAATGCTGATGAATTGGCTCTGTCATTATATGTGGAGGAGGTGGAGCCTGTTCCTTTGAAAGTCTACCTTCCTTCTTGCGTAAGGCGTTCGGCACGATTTACCACCAATAAGTACAAAACGCCATCTCCGGTGAGCAGCCGCCGGCGGAAGTCAAAGGGGTTCCCTGCATTTGCTTTTTCTGTTAAAAAAAGAAGGTCTCCAAGGCTTTTTGCATCATCATCATCAGCTCCGGTGGAAGTGTGGTTGAAGAAACGGCGAGCTTTTGAGGAGGAGGAAGAAGCTTCAAAGAAGGTAAAGATGTGTTTGAATGATAAAAGTTTAAGTTCTCCGAGGTTGAGAGGTGGTGATAAAGATGTAAATTCAGGGGGGATTTTGAGTGCTAGGTGCTTAAGATCAAGAACTGTAGTAATGCATGTGGGTAATGAGAAAGAAAGGGTAGAGAAAAGTTCAAATTTGAAGTGCTTAAGATCTGGAATAATTGAGTTAGATTTGGTTAAAACACCCAAAGCTTCGAAAACTATATGTCTCCACAGTAGCTCTAGCAGGTTTCAGAGGTCAATTGAGGCTGAAAATGAAAATCTGAAGTCTGAGACGCCTTCATTGGAGAAGAGATTAAAATCAACAACTGTAAAAATGAACGTGGGAATTGAAAAAGAAGGGCCCAAGAAAAGTGTTTCGAAGAAAAGTATTGGTGATGATTTGTTGGTTGACAAGTGCTTAAGGTCTCCAAAAGTAGAGTGTACTTTGGATGAATTTCCTCGGGTTTTAGAAAAAGGGGATTTGGAAAAACGTGATTCAGAGGTAAGGGGTGAGAAGTGCTTAAGGTCTAGGAAAATTGACTTTAAAGTAAATGTGGAAGGAAGTGTTGAGAAAAAAATTCCTCGAATTGAAGGGTGTGCTTCGAAGAATGAAGGTTCGGTAAAAAAAGATATGGTATCGGAAAGAAAGGAGAAAAAACAACAAAAAACTGCATGCTGGTTTATCGGGGATCCAATTCCAGAAGAAGAAGCTCGAGAGAGATGGGCATGGCGATATGAATTAAAGGTGATTATCCCTTTGCAGTTGAGATTTTGCTTGGAGTTGTTATTAATACACATTGCATTTCGTTGAGAGATTTGAGTGTGATAATTATCTTTATTTGGTGATGTTTTGAGCCATTGTTCTTTAGCATCACATACAGTCACTGCTGCACAGAGCCAACACAAAACTCTTGAAAGGTTTTTCTGACAGTGCACTTTTTTTTTTTTTTTTTTGGATAAACTGAGTTTCTTATGAGGCACTTGACATAAATGTTGACATGCAGTAAGTCATCCTTGACTTGCTTTCCTACTCATAGAAGTGCGTTGAAAATTTATTTATTTTATTTCTCACATTTTTGTCGCACTTCAAATTTCTTAAGCAATTGGTAATTTCTTTTCTGATCATGATTGATTATGGACTTTGCAGAGCCAAAGAAAGGATCGAAGTGGGAAATTGAAGTGAGTGAATATTACAAATATTTCTTTTTGGCGGTGTCTGTCATTTGGATTCGGTGTTTTCATGTTTTTTCCATGTAATCACTTTTTATTTGTGAATATCTGTTACTGCAGTAGTGGAGAAGAAGATGAAATTATATTGAATGTAGAGTGCCATTATGCTCAAGCCAAAGTTGATAGTTGTGTTCTTAACATTGGAGATTGTGCATATATGAAGGTAAGTTGGTTAAGATTTTTATGTTTTCTTGATATAAGGTCGTAGTTTGCTTTGTCTTGTACTTTTTTCCTCATTTTTATTCTTTCTCATACTTTTGAACTTTTGCTGTATTACCTATGAATCATAGTTTTGAGCCATGTTATCATGTAACAAAGAGTACCTTTGTGGATGTTGTCATGTAAGCATGTTTGTTAAATCCTCAATAGAAGTAAAAGTACTAAATGTGAAGATTTCTTTCCCTTATTTTTAGAAATGGGCCGTTGATTATAACAGGTCTGCATGTGATAGCTTGAAACTAAACCATCCGGAAACCCAAGTCAGTAACTTCTTTCCCCTTCAAGTACTTTTTTAGCTCATTTTGTTTTAACATGGTGAAGCTTAACTGTACATCCTTTTTTATAGGTTAGGAATGAATCTGCTAATGATTTCCTAGAGTTACTAAGGAGCTGGGAGAAGTTATGCAAATCGTATGTTTGTGATTTAGACAGAACACATGAATTGGGATTGGAGGATGACAGTGAAGAAGATGACAGCAATATAAATTCTCAATTGGATGAAGAGGTTTCTTCTGAAGAATACGAAGTTTCCTGTCTAGTTGATATTCGTTATGGTGATCACGGTGACAGAGTAAAGCATGGGATATACTTCAAGGTACTGCATAATGAATAAATTTTGATGAAATTAATTCCTTTATTTGATTAATTAAACTAACTGAGAAGGATGTCATTTCTTGCTCGAATCCCCTTTTTGTCAACGTGTTACCACCCATTGAATTTTTAAGGTACGTTGGAAGGGATATGGTCCAGACGAAGATACATGGGAACCAATTGAAGAGTTGAGGTGAGTTTCATATAATGATATACTGGTTTTGGTTGTTGTGTTTAGCTACTTATATTGTACTACGCATCCATTTATCTTGTTTCAGGAATTGCGAAGAGAAAATATGGGATTTTGTTAGGGAAGGATTGAAATCGAAAATTTTGCCTCTCCCGGTATGTGAATTTTATTAGCTGCCATTTCCAGGTTAAATAACAACACAATACTCATTTCAGTGTGAGTCTTTCTATGTTTAAGAGCATGTTTGGCCAAGCCTTCGTCCAATAATTAATAACTTGATTATTTTTAGATAATAGTAGATAGAAACAATACTTGTAAGGAGTCCTGTTGGAGCTGGATGATAAAAAAATTATCATGTCCAGTTCCTTTGGGGAATGGATCTATAAGAATTCATAAAAAATTCGAACATATGTGAAAAAAAAATATTAATGAAAAATAAACTTTACTTTCAAGTACTTTTACCTCTTTTTTTAAGGCTCAGCCAAACATGCTCTTGGTACGCTGACAAAGCCCATCTGCCTACTTCAGGGAGACGTTGATGTAATATGTGGTGGCCCTCCATGTCAAGGCATTAGCGGTTATAATCGCCATAGAAACCTTGAGTCCCCATGGGACGATGAAAGAAACCACCAAATTGTGATCTTTATGGATATCGTTGAATTCTTAAAGCCGAAGTATGTCTTGATGGAAAATGTGGTCGACATCATAAGGTTCGATAAAGCCTCACTTGGACGATATGCTTTAAGTCGTTTAGTGCATATGAAATACCAAGCCAGGTTAGGAACTATTGCCTCCGGGTGTTATGGTCTTCCACAGTTTCGACTGCGTGTTTTTATTTGGGGTGCGTCTCCTAGTGAGAAATTGCCCCAGTTCCCATTGCCTACACATGATGTCGTTGTCAGATATTGGCCTCCATGCGAATTTGAGAGAAATACTGTTGCTTATGATGAAGGCCAGCCTCGCACACTTGAAGATGCCATTGTTCTTCAGGATGCAATTTCTGATCTGCCACCTGTTACAAATGATGAAACCCGTGAAGAAATGATATATGAGAAGCCTCCAGAAACGGCATTCCAAAAGTACATAAGATCAAGTAGAGACGAGATGTTGGGACTTGTGTCAAATAGAGAAATGGGATCAAAATGTCCTGTGTTATACGACCATCGGCCTCTCCAGTTGTCTACACACGATTATTTGCGCGTTTGTCAAATCCCCAAGAGAAAAGGAGCCAACTTCAGGGACCTTCCCGGGGTCGTTGTGGGAGAAGATAATGTGGCACGCCGTGATCCAAACAAAGAGCCAATAATGCTACCCACTGGAAGACTAGTTGTACCAGATTGTGTCTTCAATTTTGAACAAGGAAAGTCGAAAAAACCATACGCAAGATTATGGTGGGACGAGACAGTAACAACGGTGGTGACATTCCCCTACATTCGTTGCCAAGCAGTTTTACATCCCGAGCAGAACCGACTTCTCACCATACGAGAGTTTGCAAGATTACAGGGATTCCCGGATTTTTACAGATTCTGCGGGACTGTTAAGGAAAAGTACTGTCAGATAGGAAATGCAGTGTCTGCTCCAGTGGCACGAGCTCTCGGATATGCGCTTGGAATGGCCTCCCAGAAGGTTAGTGGAGACGAGCCCCTCGCGATCCTTCCGCCAAAATTTTCTTCCCTTCAGCATTCAACGGTTGTCTCTATATCTGAACAGTGGTAGTATAATTGCAAAAATTGTTTCTTGTTTCTTCTCCAACGTTATTGAGTTCTAAAGAATCTACTTTACCAATAGGTCATGAATCCTGATGGTAAAAGAGTTTCGGATTGTAGTCATTATGAAGGAAATTCGGGACGAAATATTTGATCCAATTTTCATGTACAGTACTTGTCATTGATCAATTCACTGATTGATGAAGGTACACGTGTTGTAAGGGATCTCGTTAGACTCTTTTCTATGAAGCAAGTATGGTTCAATTTCAAAGGGCAAAAGAAATAGTGGTTTAAATTACTGTAATGTCTTAACTACTGCAGAACTAATTAGGGGGGAAAAAATAACCATAATTAAAATGCATTTTTACATTACATATATTTAAACAGTTTCTGAACTGACAAGAAAAATAATTTAAGGGTAATTGATATAAAACGTTCATACCTTTTAAGTTTATTGTGAAAAACGTCTCAATCTTTCATTTTTTGATATTTTCGCCCATACCTTTTACGTTTCTTTGCGTAGAAGGTTCTTTTTATTTTATTTTTACGATTTTACCCTCCATTCAAATTAAACAAAAAGAAAAAAAAATAAAGAACTCGTTGCAATAATAGTTCCAAGTTTTCAAAAAAAATTATAAATCGGTCACAATTTATTGTGAACTGAAAAATTTTAAAATTATCGAAAAAAAAAAAACTTGAATGTACAAAGAAATAATTAAGAAATAGTGAAATTTTTGAATCATAGCCAATGAAACTGAAAATCTTCAAAAATGAATAAGCATAAATCTCAATTTTTATTTTGTGAAGAGTAGATGGAAGGCTTGAGATAAAAATCACGTAATCTTTAATTTTTTTCATTTCCATTGGTTATGATTACAAAATTTCTCCATTTCTTAATTATTTCCATGTACATTCAAGTTTCCTCATGACTGATTTATAATTTTTTTAAAAATTTGGGACTATAATTACAATTAATTCTTTATTATTATTATTTTTTATTTCAATGGAGGGTAAAATCGTCAAAAAGAACCTTCTGTGCAAAGAAATGTGGAAAGTATGGGCAAAAATGTCAAAAAATAAAAGGTAGGGATATTTTTGACAATAAATTTGAAAGGTAGGGACGTTTTGTGCCAATTACCCATAATTTAACAAGCGACATTTTTAAAGTTCTTACTTGTGCTTGTTCTACGCTGGTTATGTGCTGAAAATATATTGTAGCTGTGTATATGTAGTTGTCAGGATCCCTTGGACTCTTTTCTATGAAATATGGTTAAATGTGACAAAGGTAAGGTATACTCAGCCTTGCTGGTAGTCGCAGTGTGAGAATTCGATTCCTGAAACATGAATTTGGACTCTTTGTGGGCACCAATGTACAGGTAAATCTCGTTCCCTGATCTGTTGGGGCATTTCCCGCGATTAACCTCTCTCACGATGCTCTAGGGGCGAGGTGGTAGGGGACCCTTAAGGTTCGGGCTCAACTTTTTTTTTTTTTTTTGGTTAAATGTGAAAAAAAAAAAAAGGAAATTTTTTTTTTTTTTGGTTAAATGTGAAAAAAAAAAAAAGGAAATTTGTATTTTTTGCTTTATTATGCAAAACACAAGTCTTTTGCACAGCTTCCTTCATTTAGTCACGTTTACTTGTTAAAATATGTTCTTTACATGCCAAAACTCTCGTGGCATAAAGATGGCTTTTTTATTAATTGGTTAAATAAAATCTCTTGTTATTATCAAAAACTAAAATGACGACGTCTTAAGTTGATAGAAAATATTCGAAAAATCATAAATGTTGTCGACACTTTTTTGGATAATATTTTTGTCAGAGAATTCTCCATTATGTTGGTTAGTTTTCAAATTCAGAATTTGAAATTTGGGTCATCCTCATATTGTCCGAGAAAGTTGCGAAGCATTTTATTTACGGTGGTGCTAATAGTACATAGGCGTATACTTAAGTGTGTACACCCCCCTCACATTGGGTGTGGAGTCCACCCAAATAAATTTTTTTTATTCAGGTGGACTCCACACCCGATGTGAGGGGGGTGCACACCCTTAGGTACATCATATTATGTACCGCTAAATTAAATCTTTTATTTATTGGATAAAAATAAAAAGATTTCGTATAATCTAAACTGACGGTGAATAACATTATTTGGGTAAAAAATATTCGGGTGGACTTCACACCCCCTGTGAGGGGGGCGTACACCCTTAGGTACATCCCATTATGTACCGTTAAATTAAATCTTTTATTTATTGGATAAAAATAAAAAGATTTCGTATAATCTAAACTGACGGTAGATAGCATTATTTGGGTAAAAAATTATAGGCATGGCATTACATTAATAAATTCAAAAGACAAATGATGAAAACCTCGAAAGAAAGATTCAAGAAAAGCTGGCAAAGAGAACCAACTTTATTACAAGAACTTGACACCTTCCTTGTATGTGTGTCCATGTGAAGAATATTCTCACTCTATTTTTTCCCCCTTAATTTTTTTTTCTTATGGAATGGACTATTCATTGAGTAAAATATATGTAATATGTAGCATTAGACAAAAATTAGTGTCCCTAAAAACAATCACTATGCAACATGAGCAACATTACAATTTAAAAAAAAAAAAAATCTTGTTTACAATATATATATATATTGTTATTTCTACAAATGAATTTAGACATATACTCACATAATTTGAAGATGAGTGGTTTTGATTTATGAAAGTAATGTTGTTGAGGGATATGTAAACAAGATTTTTTATTTTATTTTATTTTAATTTTCCATTTTAATAATACTAGCACCTGTTTGGCCTTAATTTTTTAAATGAAAATGGGTGGAATAATTTTTTTTTTAATTATAAAAATGAGGGGTTGAAAATGAAGGAAAATTTTTCGATTTACGTGTAATATTATTTTATGGAAGATTGTGATTAAAAATAGGAGAGAGAAAAATAAAATGTGATTTAATGGGGTCGGGCTATATTTTCATACTTGAAAGATTGAAATTTATATTTCTTAATATTTTTCAATATTGTCTTATTCACATTCTCAAATTACACATAGTTGTGCTCTATAACATTTAGATTTACCCATTAAAATGTTAAATTTAGAGTAATGCTATTTACAGTTGTTCACTGTTATAATCGTTCTACGTGACATACATGCGACGATTCATTGTTATAAATTTTAAGGACACGGAATAAATACAATTTAATCTTTGGCACGATGATGCGTAGCGTAGCAGAGAATAACTTCCTCAAAGCAACCTAAAGTCCGCTTCCAATTTGGAAGACGTGGCACGTGAGTGCACGAATATTCGTGTCCCCACATTTGCCGGCGAATATTCCTTGCTGGCTTCATGACGTTCAGTTCACCTACACCATCATATTCTCCACTCGGTCCATAATTCCAATCACAGCCGTTTATGATTCTAAAATATCATAAAGTCAATCCTTCTAACAATCTGACGGCTCACGGATCAGTAACTTGTGCTCAACAATCACATACAGTCAAAATAGTTTATTTTTTAAAGTTTTTTTCGGCAATCATATTTCTTCAGATTCGTCGCCGATTTTTCCTCTCCATGTTCTTTTCTTGTTAGACTCACATTTCTCACCCCATAAGAGACCAAAAAACTATTCAAAATTCCAAATTGACTTCGATTGCATGTTTGGTATGCATCAAAATTCATACGAGTAAATTCAAGCTCTAAAAAAAATCTCAAAATGATTCCAAGATTAATTTTCTTAAACGAGCTTCTATTTTACAGATATGTTAAGAACAATCTCACATTAAATAAAAATAAAATAAATATACCACACATATGGTTTGCCTACTACTCCTCGTTAAATTTTTAAGATGAAATCACGAGCCTTAATAAATATAATACAATTTGGTACAAATACAAAAGAAATTAGACAAGGAGACTTTAGCTTCTTTGTCTTTATTAATGAAGTCTAGTACTATCTGACCGTTCCTATATATTATCTATGTTTTTGTCTTCATGATTGGCTCAGTTGTTCTTGTTGAGTCTTTAGGAAGCTCTGAACTTTTTTCATCTTTTCCTAGTATTAGATTCTCCTTTTTCACGTTCATGAAGTATATATATCTATATGATCATTCTTACAGTGCTTAATTCAGTAATTTGATCTTGTTTTGTTTATATACGATCTTTTTCTTCTATCTTTCTGTTCTGGATTCGAACTTTAATTCTTTAGTTACTTTGTTCTCTGTTCTTTTTTCCTTTGTCAAGGAATAAAGATGGCATGAGGGCTTAAAGAGGGAGTCACAGAGAGAGAATTTGTAAGAGGTTTATGTAGTGGGGTGGTGGCAGTAAGAGGCGGAGATGGACAGAATTTATGAAGGCGCTGGCAGCGAGGGCTTGATGAGAGGCGGCGGTGGGGTGATGATGACAAGAGACTCAAAGCCAAGACTGAGATGGACTGCTGATCTTCATGATCGTTTTGTAGATGCTGTCACCAAACTTGGTGGCCCTGATAGTGAGTCAATTTTGATTTTAATTCAACTTTTTAATAATGTATTTGTTGATGAGGCTAATCTTTTTGTCGATCGCAAAATTATTAGGAATATGGCTTAGTTTGGTTGTTGATTGGGTCATAGAGTAACATGGGTTAGTTTTTCAAAATTCTTGATGGTTTTTCTAAAAATGATCTTAAGAGATTCTCTTGTTACGGGATCAAATTGATTTTGCATATAATTTATGGAATTCATAATTTATGGAATTCAGGTCAATTTAGTGAGTTTTGTGTACATTACAGAAGCAATTACAAGTAAAACTATCTTAGTAATTTGTAGGATTAAGGTGAAGTAAATGTTACATATATCTGATCTGAAGATGCAAAACATGTTTATTTGTTTCTTAATCAAATACTTTGAGGATGTATGTTAAGATAATTTTTCTTTGTAACTTAATACTGATAGAATTAGTCAGATCATTCGAATAAATTCGGAGAATGGTTTTGAATTTGCAGAAGCTACTCCAAAATCAGTTTTGAGGGTAATGGGATTAAGGGGCTTGACATTGTATCACTTGAAGAGTCATCTACAGGTACTCATTCCTTTTCGTAGTTCCTTTTTCCTGTCCGATGTAGGAAGGATCTGAAACGAGTGGCAAAGGGATTCATATAGCCGACCTTAATATAAATGTAACTGAATGGTGCTTAGTTCTTTTTTCGTGTAGAAGTATAGACTCGGGCAGCAGCAGGCCAAAAAACAGAATGCTTTGGAGCAAAATAAAGAGAATGGTGGTGAGTATTATCAACCGCCATTTCACAATTTAAACAAAACGTGCTAAGAAGTTACAAAATGTTCTGTTGTGGTTTTTATTCCAGAGTTTAGACTAATGTTCTTCGTTCATAGGGAATTCTTATGGACAGTCCAATATGCATATGGCTAGTTCAAGCAATAACTTACCAGCAGTAAAGAGTGAGCAGGGGTAGGTGATTCATAATCAACGGCCTATTGCATTTTGTTCTCAATTAATCTCATGTGTATTCTACTCACGCCTCGTTATAAGATTTGTTATGAACAATTATTTGATGTGTTGAACAGAGAAATCCCAATTGCTGAAGCATTAAGATGTCAGATTGAAGTGCAAAAAACATTACAAGAACAGCTCGAGGTAGTCGATGCTAGTCTTCTGTTTATGCCCTTTACAGATTGAATTTTTATCGACACCCCACTGTTTATTTTTCTCATGGCAGGTTCAAAAGAAACTGCAAATGAGAATAGAGGCTCAAGGGAAGTATTTACAAACAATATTGGAAAAGGCTGAGAGGAGCCTCTCGGTTGATATGAATAACCCCGGTAGCGTTGACACGACGAAGGATCAACTGGCTGACTTCAATTTGGATTTTTCAAATTTCATGCAGAGAAATGGAAAAATTGCAAAGGTGCCCGAGTCGAATTACATGAAAAAGGTAGATGAAATAGAAGATATGAAGCTTAAGCTTGAAGGACCTTCCACAGATTTTGATTTGAATACCAGAAGTAGTTATGATTTTTTTGGCCAAGCCAAACCACTTAAAAATAGATGAGGAAATACAGATTAATTTACTGCCTATATCAGATTCTTAAATTTGCTTTCCAGTTGAATTTGTTGACATAACATTTTGTGTAATTTGCTTTCAAGCATAATCTAATTGTCTTTTAAACACGAAGTTCTAGGGTATTTAACTACTCTGAAGTCGTGTTTACTCCTTTCTTGCATAAAAAAGAAGGGCAACTGTTCTCGAATATGACTCAGATCAGAAAGCATTTAAAAAACCTCCCTTCCATTTGCCAAGGAAAGACTTGAAACTTGAAGGCGGGGAGATTGATAGAAAAGGCAGTTTCGATACCATATTAAATGAAAAGACAATTTCATAGCCAAGAGAATAACTGAAAACTTAGGTACAAATGTTCGGGCATTGTAGATAATGCTTTAAGTATTTCTTGGATTCGAGTGTACTTAACTTGGTAATAGAGAGCCTTTTAAAGTTTTCTTTTAAAGTTTTCGGAGAGGAGAGTCTCATTATAAGATATCAGAAATGAAAAAGGTTTCTTACATAAATATACTCCTGACACGATACTTAACATTGTTTAAATGAGCCAAAATAAAATTTAGAATATACTTTGACTATAGCGATATTTGTTGGAAATGGTGTTTATTAATAAACCAATTCAAAAATGAATGAGGAATTGTGGTTTTGGAATAGTGGCACCTGTTTGGAAGGTTGCATGGTTTGGCTCAAATCCTTTCATCACACCACTCCATTCTCTATATAAAGGACCCCTTGGATGACTTTGAGAGTACACCATTTGCATATTGGGCATTCATTCTTCTCAAAATTGCAATTCTCTTCTTCTTCATCTCTTTTCATATATTATATTCCTGGTAGAGGGGAAACTCCGTCGAAAGTTCGCCGGATTTGTGGTTTGAAGTGCTACTACCACAAATCGAATCCGTTGTATCTTGGGAGACAATTGCCGCCAACCGTGAGCACCGTAGCGGGGCAATATTGTCTTAAGGAGAGAGTGAATACACTTGCCTCGGATTTAATCTTCGTTTTCTACTCCTTCTTATTTTAATTTTCTTATTTGGTTTTATGGTTTTGTACTACATTTTCATTTCATAAAATTGTGATTTAAAATGCACTCACAAACAACCATCTTTACCGCTCACAAATAAGCCCGGCACCAACAATCTTAAGACAATAATTTATCAATGGTTGTTTGGCGTTCTAATCAAGTTTTGTTTGTTGTGCAGTTTATATTTTAGTTCTTGTTGGAATATGATTCTAGAAAATCAGTGTGTTGGTTTCTCTATTGCCGATGGAAGACCATGATGAAACTATAAGCCACTTTAAGAAATTACTTTGGCGTTGATCAAGTTGATGGATTGAGACTCTTTTTTTTTTGTGTGGATGGTTCGATGGGATAATCTTCACAAGATGGCTAGATGACATGGATCCAGATTCTCATATTCAGATTTGGTAAATTATCATTTTGCTTCTCCAAATTCGGTAAGTCGAAATTATGCTTCGATGAAGTTTGGTGCATTTTATATTGCATACTATTAATTCTTGTGCATATTCTGCCATAATGTATGAGACGTATGCAATAACAAATTGAGATAATGCAAAACTCGATTCTTCGGTGGACGATTTATGAACGTGTCTATTGAATTCTGGGAAGATTATTTTCATAGACACTTGAATTGAATTATTGAATCGGTGCCAACAGTTTAATTTTCATTCATGAAAATTTGATTATGCTTAAATAATTGAATGTGTAAAAACGGCTTCTATGTGCATTACATATGCTTGACATTCAGGAAATTATGCAAATTATATCTGGGTTGTGCACTCATATCAATTGAATATATTATATAATTGTATGTGCCGAAATTACAAAGCATATGTTGGCAGTTTCATTTGCCGAATTTGTTGATGGCAATTTTTAAAGGATTTATCTACATTTAAAACTTTTGACACCTTTTAATACAATGAGTATTTTGAGTCATAAATTGCCTGAAGAATTTTGATTGGAAAGAAAAAATGTGAAGCGGTGCATACATTAAATTCCAATAGAATGTATTCCGTTTCTTGCATGTGCATGCATTCGAAACGTCCCCAAACTATGATGATTGGCAGTTTAATTTTGGCACCTTTTTAATTCTCATAATAATGTTTGGGGATGAAGGTTCTATGATAATAAGGTTGGTATAATCTCATCAACGATTTAAAATTAAATGAAGAATTGCGTTGAGGCAGTTTCTCAAAATCTAAGATAGTATGAACCTATAGAAAAATTGTCTGACACTTTCTTTTGGTCTGATATGCCGCCTACTGTACATTAAAATTCATAATCAGTCCAGAATAAATTTGAAAAGTGCATTAATTAAATGGTATCTCTGAAATCTGATTTCTTGGGACATAATTGATTGCATATATCCAGAAATTGTGCACCTTATCATGGAAATTATGAAATCTGGAAAAGGGCATGAATTCTTTATCTTCATGTCATTTGGTGTAAAACAAATTATTCATTTCTGAAATGGTGCGATCCATTCAGAATTGTATGGCATAACTTTATTTGTCTTGGTGTATGAAATCACATGCGATTATCTGTCCTCAACTATGATTCTATGAACAGGCATGATTATGTATGTAAGCTTTGTGATTTTAAACATGCTGGTTCATTGTTGCACCTTTTGACATGTTCACAAATTGGAGTATACATATGTTTATTTTACACAAAGTGCATATGTATAAATAAAATTGCATGTTGGTTGAAGAATATTTGAAATAAATTATTCATACATGTTCACGTGAGGAT